GTATTAATTGCCAGCAACTGCCTTGCCTTACTGTATGTTAAATGATTTGAAACTTGTCAAGGAAAGTAAAAGTTCATCCGAAATTATAGTTTGATAGGAAAGCTTCTGGTTCATGTTTCGTGTTCGCTTTTAACAAGATCGGCCCTGGCCCAAGGCAACCTAAGCCATTGTCTTGAGCCTCAAAAAATTAAAAGCCCAAAAATTCAACAAAAAAATTCATTTCTTTTTTGAGTCGAGTCATTTATTCCATTTAAAAGACATGACTAAATAACATGATGAACTAAATAAGAGGCTCAAAACACTTGGACACTTGCATCCTTAACGAGCTTAATTTTTTTTAAAAAAAATCTCTTACAGTTTTTTTAGTAAGCTTATAATTTTTTTAAAAAAAATTAAAAAATTAATTTTTATGATAGTTAAAAATAAGTTATTTATTTTAAAAGGGCTAATTTAATTTTTCAAAAATAATATAAAAAAATCAAATTGAATAAAACATGAATGATATTAAAGAGATCAATATGCTTATAGAAAATTATATTTAAGAGTTTCGTAATAATTTATCACTTAGGATCTCAAATATCTTAGGACTGACCTTGCATTTTAGTGTTTTTGCTTCCCAATTTGATGAGTGCTGCCTATCTTTCATGCATATTTTAACGATCTATTAAATGGAAGCGGTTCACTAGGAATCAAGGAGTATTCGTCCTACACTTACAAAAGACTCAAGTCTTTTTTTTTTTATAAATAGTAGTGGGTTTTCAGAAATGTTTGGATAGTTAAAAAAATCAATTCGATTAGAATATAAATGATACTAAAGAGATCAATACGCTTATAGATATTTATATTTAAGAGTTTCGTAATAATTTATCGCATAAAGCCTAGAAAATCTTAGGCCGGCTTTGGGTTTTAAGGTTTGCTCTTATATTTTTATCAGACAATTAACTAGTCGTAGGGTTTTTAGGACGAAAGGGTGTTTTGTCGTGTAACCATGCATTCTTTTCTTGTAGATCGCAGAGTGGGGAATGATGAGTTTGTGTGATGGTGAAAGGCGACTTCTTGCTAATGCATTGCTGGATATTTCCAACGAATGGTTTGTACTTCTATCAGAATCATGCATTCCTCTTAAAAACTTTAGCATTGTGTATCAGTACATATCAAGATCCCGGTTCAGTTTCATCAGTTCATTTGACGAACCCGGTCTACACGGTAGAGGCCGCTACAACGAGAAGATGTCACCCGAGGTCAACCTCACGGAATGGCGTAAAGGGTCCCAATGGTTTGAACTCAGTCGAAAACTGGTTGTTGACATTGTTCAAGATCGCGTTTACTACCCCAAGTTCAAACAGTTGTGCCGATCCGTGTGCTATGTGGACGAGCACTATTTTCAGACGATGCTTAGCATCCAATCTCCTCATCTCTTGGCAAATAGAAGCCTCACTTGGGTCGTCTGGCCGTGGCACAAGCCCCATCCTAGAACGTTCGGGAAAGCTGATCTGAACGAGAATTTTTTCAAGAAAATTTCAGAAGGTAAACCGTGCATTTATAACAATCAGCCAACGTCCCTTTGTTTCCTTTTTGCAAGAAAATTTGCTCCTAGTGCTTTGAAACATTTATTAGAGCATTCATCCGAATATTTGGGGGTTTGATAAGGAATAAAACTATATGTACATAATTTTACTTACCGAAAATGTTACCCCCCTCACATGTGCTTGGGGCCCATGTGAATAAAAAATTTCCAAAAATGTGGTCCCCACACCCTATTGTGAATGTAAATAAAAAATTAGGTAAAAAAATTATGTACATGAAGCATTGCATAAGATTATGAATAATGAATGTAGGCATAAATGCTGTAGAGGCTTTTATTTTCAGATTCATAGTGAAATTCCTATATTATAGCATCTACACTTGGAAAATAGAAGCCAGATTCAGTATAGAACTTGATTTGCAATAATTTCAATTCTTTATTGTTTTGTAATGTTAAATTTTCTAGTTTGAGGTTTATCTTTTTGTTTGGGGGTTCAGATATTTTCAAGATTATTATATTGACTTAAAAAAAGTAACATGTTGTGTTACTTTTTAAATAAATATCGCGCACAATCAATTTTTAATGGAACAATTCAACGTCTATGTCTAAGCTTTCAATTTGCTTATAAGAATTTTCTTTGAACTAATATTTAAATATTAACTTTATTTTTTGTTTTGCTAAATGTGAATTATGGTTACAATAATAGAGAAAGTGATATGATATACCACTTTTTAATTAAAATGCATCACATATTTAATTTTATTTTGTAAAGTATTTTTACTTTCAAAATACTTTTCATCTAATTTTTTAAAAGGTCCTTGATTTTAGGTGTATTTGTATAAGTTTCCCTTTTTAAATTATAGATTTTGGAGATTTACGAGGGATTCAATTTAGGGTGGTTTTTAATATTGATTTTTAAAACAACATTGAAATTTATTATCTAACAGTTCTGAAAGTTTTCAAAAGAATAAAATTGTATATATGTCCATATAAAAGAATAGGTATGTACAAACAATATAGAATAACTGTGTACGATATCCATACAATTTATTTTGAAGAAAAACGAACACCTAACCCACTTATGCTAAATACTTTTAAGAGAGGGCATCCATCAATTTTGAACAAAATATAAGTCATAAGATTATTGTTTTAGATAGGATAAAATTAAAAGGAAAAAAAAGGGCAAAAAATCACCTATTTGATGTGAGAATTATAACTCAAATTATATAACTTTTGTCCAAAAACAACACACTTATTTTTCCAATTCTCATAAACAATGTCACCTAAAAATAGTCAAAATATGTATTAGACCTTATTGGCCAAAGTTGGATAAAAAAATAAGTTACTTATTTTTAAAATGTAACAAGAGTTAGTTTCAAAATAAGTAACTTTTACTTTAAAAAATAAATTTTTTTTTTTGTCAAATATATAAGAAGATAAAAATCACATATAAGTCAACATCATATTATTATTTATCCTATTTTGGATCGACCAACAAGTGACAGTATTGAGATCGTCTCTTCCTCGAACATGATATCAAATGTGATTGATGGGAACTATAGGCCTACGATTGGGCGTGGAGAGGGGATACGAGATGAAAAAAAAAACTATGAAGTAGGATGAAATTACTCTCACTATCAAAGATGAAGGAGTTAACTTTGGGAAAAAAAAAAGGTTGAGACCGAAAGTGTAAAGTGATAAAAAGTTAAAACCAAATCAAGAAAAAAAACAACAAAACGGAGAGCAGCCTTCACTTGGTGCCTGATTGGGAAGGGAAACTTTAAAAAAGTAAATTTTATAAATAAACAATTTACTCCTGTTTGGTAGAGATTAAAATTACATTTTTTGTAGATTTTGATAAAAATTAATGAGATATGTGGTTGAAAAGTCGTGGAATTCATGAAATGTGTGATTAAAATTAATTGTTAATTTTGATTTAAACTAAAATCTTAATTTTAATTTCCACCCAACGGAGTTAAATCAGTATGAGGTCAATAGTGAACTAAGTAGCTAGTATTCTTTATTTTTCTCATTAAAATATAATTACTCGCACGACTATTTTCAATATAAAACACATAATATTATGGTTAAATGTATGGTTATGTCAAATAAAAAAAAATAGTAAATAACTTTTTTTTGATTTTTCATTAAAAAAATATCTTTGAGCAATCTATCGTAATACTATTTATTTAGCCCCTGTTCGAAGGAGATTAAAATCAAATTTTTAATAAATTCTGATAAAATCTCGATGAATTTATAGTTGAAAAGTTGTGAATTTTCATAGAATATGTGGTTAAAATTAATTATTAATTTTGATTTAAATTAAAATTTAGTTTCTATCAATCTGGGACTTAGTAACATTCATTGCCCCAGTTTCACTCCCATTTTTAGAAAACTTATTTTTCATCGAACTCATTTTTAATCATAAATTTTATGAAATTCATAAATTTTCTCGACATTTTAATCACAAGTTTTAATCAAAATTGTTAAAAATCATATTATAGTTTTCTAAAATAATTTTTTATATATTTTTTAAAGTTCACTAGAGTAAATTGTAAGTTTCACTTTTAAGCAAAGACAAATATGCCTTGTCGAACATAATTGCAGAGGTGTCCCAAAGTTCAAAATTGCAACAAGACAACACAAAAATCAATAATTTATCTTCCCAGGTTGTTCCACCACCACCACCACCTGCGAGTGCGCACACACTCAATTCTCTCTCTCTCAAACGCTAGCCCATCTCCCTCACTCATAGATACTGATTGCCGAGTTTGATAGAATTAGTTCACAAAACAACAATCCACGAAGGCTGCATTTTGAACAAAGAAGATCCCATTAAAACGTTCCCAATTCGAGCAGTATTTTCACGTTTTGGGCCGAAAATAAAGCACCCCATTTGTGTGAAAAACCACCGTTATTCAGTTTTATTGTCTAAATCTTAACGTTTCTGATTTCTTCACGATTCATAAATTTGATTCATTGACTATCCCTTCATGAGCATTTATTAGCTACCAACGTAATGACAAATATAACATCTCTATCTTTCACCCATCTATGATATCTGATTTTTTTTCTTTCTATTTTTTTCGATTGAATCAGCTGCAGAATCTTAGATTTTGATTCATTTTTCTTTCTATTTAAGATTTTTAATTTGTTAAATACTGCGTCACGATTTCAAGCATGGAGTTACCCTAATTGGTAAGGAGCAGTACTACATTACTTTTCAATTTTGGTTCTTATTTTATTTTTTCCTTAATAAAGCTTTGTTTACTGGTTTTCTTGAATACCCATGTGAAAGAAAATCAAGATTTTTTTTTTTTAACAGTTCGTGATTTTCTGAATCATACACCGAAGTGGTGATATGGTTCTCAGAAAGCTATTTTGAAGAGCTCGATATTCCAAAAATCTGATGTCTTTCAAAATGTGGATTCAGGAATAATTTTTGAGGAGTTGAATAATTGGGGTTGAATTGACGATGCAATCAAGAGTTGGGAGTTATGGTTCACTGGAAAATGGCAAAGAATCATATACGAGAACCACAAATCAATCTAGTAGGCCTTTGCCACTGAGGTTACTTCAGTTTCTCTTGCTTTTCTTGGGAGTAGGCATTGTGTTTTCATGTCTCAGTTTATATACGAGTCGGTTTCTCAAGATCCAGAATGTAGTTCCTCTGGTTCAATCAAGGATTCAATCATGTGTTCAAGAACCTAATAATCTGGAAAAATGGATTAGGCCTCCATCGAATTTGATTCATACTATGAATGATTCTGAGCTGTTTTGGCGCGCTTCGTTTGTACCTAGGATTAAAGAGTACCCCTTTAAGAGAACTCCCAAGATTGCATTCATGTTCTTGACAAGAGGACCTCTGCCAATGGCGCCTCTGTGGGATAAGTTTTTTAAGGGGAACGAAAAGCTTTATTCGATCTACATTCATTCATTGCCATCCTATCATCCAGATTTCCCAACTTCATCGGCTTTTTATGGCAGACAAATTCCTAGTCAGGTATAGAGATGACCATTTTTCCTGCTCTGTTTAGTGTTGTCATATGGTTATACTTGAGTTTATTTACTTGTGCTTTGAATTGAATCAAGGTGGGACTATACAAGAAATGCATGTATGTTCTTTAGCCAATAAACTCAACTTAGGTCACAATAATGTCTGTCTTACGTTCCTCGCTCTCCTGGCCTAGGTTTTAAAATTCATATGAATATAATAAATATATAATTTCCAAACAGTGAAAAGAATAATGGAAGGATTATATTGTAGGTTCATGAGGTGTTTCATTGCAAAACAGGCTTTCCTTCTTCAATGTAATTGATTGGCGAATTGTTCGGTTGTATAGCTACCCTTCTCGTGATAGAGAGAGAACTTTTTCGCAAGAATAAATGCGTTGTGACAAAAACAGAAAACAGTAGTTACACTTTATACCATCACTGGTTATATATGACTCAAGCAATCCAATATGTTACTCTAGTGATTGTCAAATAAAAAAGTTCCAAAAATGGTTATGAAAATTCAATAGGGGGAATTGCACATGCTAACAAATCAAACTCATTAAAGCCTGCTTGCTGTCGTCTTCGATAGAGAGATGATGTTGAATTTTCTGCCCAACCCAGGCATAAGTCATTTAGACATTTTTATGAGTTGGTTATGCAAATGATGATTTTCTAAGAATCAGCGAAGGAAAATGACCAAAAAAAAACCCCCTTTGAAAATCACTCTAACTTTATGAGGTATTGTTCTTTTTGAAGTTAGTAATTCTACTTGGACTTCAAATTATAAGACCTCTCTATCTGTGGCGTTGAACTAGAATGATTGTATAGTTTTTTGTTGACTTATGAGTTGTTAAACTCGAAATGTCAATCTAGAAATAAAATCCAAAGTTGACATGTTTTGCTTATCCACTGTGATAACTTTCTATCCTGAAATGCTGATGTTGATCATGTAAGATTCCAAAGATCTTTGAGGATAGGTTATTGTGAATTTTGAAAATGTTACTGTATTAATTGCCAGCAACTGCCCTGGCTTATTGTATGTTAAATGGAAACTTGTCAAGGGAAGTAAAAGTTCATCCGAAATGATAGGAAAGCTTCTGATTTCTGTTTTGCATTTAGATTAAGGTTTTGCTCTGATTTATTTTTGTGTGAAATTTTATCAGACAATTAACGAGTTGTAGAGTTTTTATGGTACGACAATTGTGTAAACTTTTTTATAAAATACCATGTATTTTTTTTTATTTTTTGTAGGTTGCAGAGTGGGGAATGATGAGTATGTGTGATGGTGAAAGGCGACTTCTTGCTAATGCGTTGCTTGATATTTCCAACGAGTGGTTTGTACTTCTATCAGAAGCATGCATTCCTCTTCAAAACTTTAGCATTGTGTATCGGTACATATCAAGATCCCGGTTCAGCTTTATCGGTGCGTTTGACGAGCCAGGTCCATACGGTAGAGGCCGCTACAACGAGAATATGTCGCCTGAGGTCAACCTCACTGAGTGGCGTAAAGGGTCCCAATGGTTTGAACTCAGTCGAAAACTGGCTGTTGATATTGTTCAAGATAGCGTTTACTACCCCAAGTTCGAGCAATTCTGCAGACCTGCGTGCTATGTGGACGAGCACTATTTTCCTACCATGCTTAGCATCCAATCTCCTCATCTGTTGGCAAATAGAAGCCTCACCTGGGTTGACTGGTCGAGGGGCGGGGCCCATCCTGCAACATTCGGGAAAGCTGATGTAAACGAGAATTTTTTCAAGAAAATTTCAGACGGTAAACCGTGCATTTATAACAATCAGCCGACGTCCCTTTGTTTCCTTTTTGCAAGGAAATTTGCTCCTAGTGCTTTGGAATATTTATTAGAGCATTCATCCAAATATTTGGGGTTTTGATAAAATTTTGAATAATGAGTGTAGGCATAAATGCTGTAGAAGCTTTTATTCCGAGATTCATAGTCAAATTCCTATACTATAGCTTCTGAAAACATTAAAAATAGAAGCCAGATTCAATATCCTAGAAACGTTAATGGGACAATATATCATAGAGTTTATCTATGTTTATAATGCCATTTTGTCGTATACTGCACTAGAATCAGTAATCTGTGATTGTCCTCCCCCGGTTTTGATTTATACTTCATCTTGAGGTGAGTAATATGTAAGTGTGATGAAATATGTTCAATTGATTTTGGAGGTAAACACTTTTAATATGTTTAATGTATTTTATTTATGGTAAATTTGTTATTTAATTGAATTATTATTCAGGTAAATTAAATTAAAAGAGTTCATAAATTTAAGTCTTGGTAACTTTTAATCAAAGGGAGTTGTGATTTTGAGATATAAATTACATATAATTGAATCTTAAATTATCCGTGACCGTATGTAATAACGAAATACGAATATTACGGATAGATCAGCATGTGTGGCATTTCTCACTTATGAAATAAATAGCTGATCTCAAAATCTAAAATGTAGTGATATTTAAATGGATGTGTGAATGTTTTGTTAAGAGGACAAAACATTTGAGATCTACTGTTGAAATTCTACATGGATAACTGTATGAATTTCATTTGTTAAAATTTAATGTTCAGTAGTGAAATTCGTCCTTTGACTTGAGATCATTATAGGGCCTTATAGGAGGATATTCATACTTTGACGATATTGAATGTTGATTTGCCAGGGTACGCCTGGACACGGTTCGGTTCGATTCTAAAGAGAACTGAATCAAACCGAACCAGAATTTTGGGTGTTTAGTAAGTAGAATTGTCGAATCTAAATTTAATTAAGACATTCGTTTCTACTTGGTTCCATTCAATTCCGAACTATAATTAATTTTTTTAACATTTACAACCATACTACATTAATTCAACAATTGTATACAAAATAACATAGTCCATTTTAAAAATATACAAATAAAAGTTGTCTAATAAGATATATTCACCAATGTATACAAATTACCAAAAAGTAAATAATAATGCTAAAACATCAGTTATTCCATCTCATTGATTCCTTTGCTTTAAACATTCAAAATTATATAAAATAATGAAATATAAATAGAAGTTATAAAAATAAAATATTTTTAAGTATTGCTAGCACTTACAAATTATTTAAATTAGTCATCCATTATTTGACTTGTCACACTTAAAAATAAAATATTTTGACGGTTTAAATTTATCTTATTTTAATTAAATTAAAATAATAATTCACATTGTTCGATATCGTGATCGATAATCTAATGGGCCACCCACAAAATGGAGAACTAAAATAATGATATTATAAGAATTATTTAATTGACAAGTGCGAGACATTTGTAGAATTTATTAATTTGATTCTTTATTAGTGGGTATGTCAAATTTAGTTAATTAACTAATGTGCCAACTTAGGTCGGTTTTGCATGGTTTTATCAATTTAAATAAATAATATACCATTAGAAAAATAATCGAATTTAGAGTCGATGCAAAAAATGAAGTGCAATTCGGAGATATAGATAAAAAAAAATTATGCACGTTTGAAATTATGAAGCCGAGCAAACTCAAGATTTGCATAACACGCTCTATTTGCTCAATATACTCGACTTTTCCTCTACTAATTCAAGGTTTGTTAAGCGAACTCGAGATTGCTGAGTAAAACTTGACAAATCTCGAGTGTCAAGTTTGCTATGCAAAAGTCGAGCATGTCATGCAAATATCGAGTTATCTCGGTCCCTATTTGGTGGCCATTTTTTTGGAAAAACATTGTTTTGAATAATGAATTTTTGAAAAATGTGTGGTTAAAAAGTAGAGAAAAGTTTTGAGTTTACGTATAGAATAATTTATTCTGTGAATGTGTGATTGAAAATGAGTATATAAAAAAAGATTTTTAAAATAATGGAAGACAAATATGGGCTCGATTGCAAATCTCAAGTTTGGTAATTGCTGATCGGGTTGATTTGGGTCACATCAATACGGCGCTTGCAGTTCGCGATAGCGTCGAGACGCATTTGTTTGTGCCAGTGGTATGAGCGAGAGTTGTAATGGATCCGGTTGTGGCGGGGAATGTGAAAGCGAGTTGTTTGTGGGAGGTATTGAGGAGGCTACCATCGGTTCGGTAGCTGTAGGTGGAGATGGTCTGTAAAGGCTAGAGAGAAACCACGAAGAAGCTTTGGAAAGCGACGGAGGAGCTTTGGCTTAGGGTTCCCGCAAAGGCACATATTGGATTTCTTGGATCAATGTTGCAGAAATATCATGGACTTATAAAACTCTCTCTTACGATGAAAAGGTCAGGAATATAAAGTTGATGATTAGATCTAAGGTTTTATCAAATGGATCTGGTGATAATTCATTTATAAAATTAAAATCTGTTTGTTGAAGAATATGAATAATTGATAAAAGTTGAAAATATACAGTGCAGAGGCTAAGTGCATTCGCATATAAGGAATTTATGAAAAATTCTCAACAAAAAATGCACTAATTGTAAGGCAGATCTGGCGGGTGTTGGTGGTAGAGGTGGTGGCAGTGCTGGCTTTTTGTGTTTTCTTTTTTTTTTTTGTTTATGTTTGTGTGTTTCAGATTGAAGACAGTGTTGGAGGTGTGACGATAAGGTAGCGGTTAGGTGCTGGTGATTGTGAAGTTGGCTGCTGGTAGTGGTGGTTGGTGGTGTTTGTGCGGCTACAATTCTATGGTTGTAACTGTGGTGACAGATCCGACGGGATCTGGTGGTGGTTTCGGAAATGGCGATGTTACTACTGATTGTCGGGGTGTTTGGGTGGTGTTGATGTTGGTAGTGGTAGCGGTAGCAAAAAAGTTCGGAGGCTCGGGCTTGGCTCGGAAAAAGCCCGAGCCGGGCCTGGCTCGAGCTCGGTGGAATCGAGCCCAGGCTCGGGCCGAGCCCCACTTTGGCGAGTCGGCTCGAGCCCGGGCCGACCCGTGGCTATCCGGTTGTGGCGGGGAATGTGCCAGCGAGTTGTTTGTGGGAGGTATTGAGGAGGCTACCATCGGTTGGGTAGCTGTTGGTGGAGATGGTCTGTAAGGGCTAGAGAGAAACCACGAAGAAGCTTTGGAAAGCAACGGAGGGGCTTTGGCTTAGGGTTCCCGCGAAGGCACATATTGGATTTCTTGGATCAATGTTGCAGAAATATCATGGACTTATAAAACTCTCTCTTACGATGAAAAGGTCAGGAATATAGAGCTGATGATTAGATCTAAGGTTTTATCAAATGGATCTGGTGATAATTCATTTATAAAATTAAAATCTATTTGTTGAAGAATATGAATAATTGATAAAAGTTGAAAATATACAGTGCAGAGGCTAAGTGCATTCGCATATAAGGAATTTATGAAAAATTCTCAACAAAAAATGCACTAATTGTAAGGCAAGTGCATTCGCATATAAGGAATTTATGAAAAATTCTCAACAAAAAATGCACTAATTGTAAGGCAGATCTGGCGGGTGTTGGTGGTAGAGGTGGTGGCAGTGCCGGCTTTTTGTGTTTTCTTTTTTTGGTTTATGTTTGTGTGTTTCAGATTGGAGACAGCGTTGGAGGTGTGACGATAAGGTAGCGGTTAGGTGCTGGTGATTGTGAAGTTGGCTGCTGGTAGTGGTGGTTGGTGGTGTTTGTGCGGCTACAATTCTGTGGTTGTAACTGTGGTGACAGATCCGGCGGGATCTGGTGGTGGTTTCGGAAATGGCGATGTTACTACTGATTGTCGGGGTGTTTGGGTGGTGTTGATGTTGGTAGTGGTAGCGGTAGCAAAAAAGCTCGGAGGCTCGGGCTTGGCTCGGAAAAAGCCCGAGCCTGGCTCGGACTCGGTGGAATTGAGCCCAGGCTCGGGCCGAGCCCCACTTTGGCGAGTTGGGTGAGCCTCCTATAAAAAATTTTTTTTTTTTTTTTTGGAAAGCATCTATTTGCAGGCAGTTAGGAAAAAAAAATAAAAAATATCGAGCTTGCTCGGCCTGCTAAGGCTCGGGCGGAGCCTCATTTTTTTGGACGGGCTCGGTTCGGGCAAAAAAAAGCTCGGGCTTGGCTCAAACATGTTTTTTTTCGGCTTGGGCTCGACTTGGCTCATTGACATCACTAGGTCGTGGTGGTTGTCATGGAGGCGGTGGTAGTGGTCGTGGCGATAGAGCAGAGGTGGTGGTGGTGGATCTGGTCATTTTGGTTTTCTGTGACTAATAATATAATTTGTGACCTTAAAATTCGAAAACCTGTATATATCTGTTAACATATCTAGTAACGAGAATTCATTTTCATTAGATTGTACACAAATTGGTATTGTGATACGCTGTTTGATACATTCTGCAATCGTGACCTCAATTTTAATTAAAAGGGTCTTGATGCATATTCTTCAACACCATGTATGAAAACACGTTATTGTCATTCTTGATTGTGACTGGAAGAGATCGTTAACCAACTCATAACTCATTGTGACTGCGACCTTAGTAGGATCCAACCCAAACTCTGTCATAACTGTATCTAGAAGCTTCGCATACCCTCATTTATGATCGATCAACACCAATGATAGCTGTTATCCCTCCATTTCTGCAAAAAAAAACTTCAACTTTAATAATATCTGTGAATAATAAAATTCTAAGTAACAATGAAAACACGTCATACTTTGTTAGTCAAGGTCACCTATTGTATATCTATAGGTCACATTACATATTTTGAAACACATATGTGATTATGTTGCTGACATAATTTTGCTTCAGAATAAAATCATGTCACAGTTTTTAAAACTGCATGTCATGTATTATGAATTCAACGTGAACACTAATGGTCACGAACATATTAGACGATTTGAAGCACATGAGTGAACATGTCACTGACTTTGATCTAAGTTAGAACAAACGACACTATTTTTTAAAAATGCAGGTCACATATTATAATTTCAGTTTTTTTCATGATACAAACATGGTCACAGATTAATGCTAATAGTCACAATATAATCACTGTCAGTAGTAGAAGTCTTCATCGACTTCACTCAATGGATTTGTTCAAATAGAAATCATTAAATCCTAATCAAACATTCATTAAAAAAAAAGATGTCATAAGTTGTTTTATTAATATCAATTCTTTGAATTCCAATGTCATAAAGTCATCTACTATTGATAAGAACATTGTGACATTACACGAACATGTAATTAATTGATTTAGAATGACATACCCGATCTATACGAATCTACTGATTTAGAAGACGATTAACGTAGTGGAATATGTTTCATGAATTGTCCAATTTCTTGGTGGCTATAATCTCACTGTATTCTTTGAATCGTGACCTAGAATTTTCGATTAACGTCGCCTCAAAGATTTCTAGTGGCTGTAGAAAGGCAATTTTAGATCTCTGTGGCATTTAATCATCGGTTGCGTAACGTATTGTATTTTGGGGAGGTGAATTTGTTAGAACAGAAAATCCGATATTGATGGTAAGTCACGCCCTTTTTTTTCAGAACTATACATATATATATATATATGTCAAATATTTGATTTTAGAAATTTGAAAGTTGTTTTCTTATTTTTGAAATAATATATAGTAAAAATAGGAAAAATGAATTTTTCCCATACTTCTATAACTACTCGACCCAAAATGAAAATCTACCAAAAATTTGATCAAGTTGATTATTTGGACGGGTTTTTATCAAATTACCCATGCCCAATGTCAATGATTTGTTTAGGTTATTTTCTTAGAGTAAAAATCACTTAAAGTTTTAACTGTTACACTAAGGATCACCGGTTAAAAACATTAACGTTAAATTTTACATTACGGCGTTAAGCTACTGTTTGGTGGAGATTAAAATCAAATTTTCAATAGATTTTGATAATAGTTGATAAAGTGTGTGGTTGAAAAGTTGTGGATACCATGAAATATGTGATTAAAATTAATTATTGACTTTGACTCGAGTTTTAATTGAATTTTAATCCAAACTAAACATGAGCTAAGTAATATATCATCAAATGGTGTTATTTAGCTCCTATTTGGTCTAGATTAAAAGTTGATTAAAATCTCAAATCAAAATCGACAATTACTTTTAATGACATTTTATTGGACCAACAATTTTCTAACTCATCAAAGACTCTCGAGAAAGCTATTTCAGCCTGCCGAGTCGTCAAGGACAATTCACTCTTAGAGTCATGACAATAATTGTTATTTTCTTCCTTCCTTTCCTTCCTCTTTTTTTTTTCCTTTCTGGAGCACATAAACCGACTAAGATGTTCAAGTGAACGATTCACTTTCCCTCTATATCACGGTAATAAAAATGCGAACAGATTATTTAAATTATCATAATTTCTAACACAATATAAAAAATGTAAAAATAAAAAATAAAAAAATTGAATTAATTAAATTCTTAAACATTTGATTTAAGAATTTTTTTATTAATCACTTAATTTATCAAAAGTAAAAGTTAAATGAGTCTCACCTTTTATTTTACTAGTCAAAGTTGAACGTGCTTGCATGTTATTCTGAAAATACTTTATAAGTGTTGTAAAATTAATATTTGATACCAATTTGTTAGGAGAATTTTCAAACGAACTAAAAAAAATAAAATTTAAAATAGAAATTTAAGAGAAAAAAATTGTACTCTCAAAACTGAACTTCTATGATTCAATTTTTTTGTGATGATGAAATTCTACAAATGAGCAACATTTTATACTACATTTGGTATATAAGAATTAATTGCTAATACATGAATTTAAACACCCTTTAAAATTTCTAGATACATGAATAGAAATAAATTCATCTATAATAATTTTAGATTCATGTAAATCAAAATTTATTAAGTCAAGATTCGTTGAATCTAGATTAATGTAAAGGTTAATTAATTGAGAATTAATAATACGAAATTCATACATGACAAGGATTATGTAGTATTTATTGCATATTGAAAAACGAAAAATAAGGTATTATTGAAATAATTGAATTGTAGTTGGGTTAGAATCGTCCAGAAAATGATTCTCCACTGATGTAATATTTATCTCCTGTTTTGTGGGGATTAAAGTCAGATTTTTAATAGATTTTGATATAAATTGATGAAGTGCATGGTTGAAAAGTTGTGGGACCTATAAAATGTGTAGTTGAAATACATTGTTGACTTTGACTTATATTAAAATATAGTTTTTAATTTGTACCAAACAATGACTTAATATATTATAGATTTATTATTTTGGGGAAAAAAATCATAAGTCAAGTATTAAGTATGCACCAAATCAATTTTTAGACATTAAGTTCAAAAATGCAAAAGTTAGGTATTAATTCCATTTTAGTTTTAAATAATAGTATTATTAGATTAAATTAATCTACTTACACCCACCCCACGAAACAACCGTCACCCACCCTCATGTACCCATTGTCGCTATCCTCTCTTACAGTCGTTGGCATTCACCTAGTACCCACCTCGTGACGATTTCTTCAGTGACGAATTGGGCATCGTCGGTTCAGATAGTAGAGATAGAGTGAGAAACATAGCGATCGTTAGAGAACATCGACTGTGCATCGTCGGCAACTAATCATCTTCTTCATCCGCGACTCAACAGTGCAAGTATAATTTAAAATGATTTTTCTAAAATTGAAAATTCAAAAACAATCCCTGGTGTAATTTACAGAGTACTTGTCAGAGCAAATAATTTCAATTCTCAACCTTCAAAATCTGGTTAATTGAATTCGTGATCAGTTTGGATAACTGAGGTCAGAAAAATCAATGGCAATGTGACTAGATCTCTTGAATTTATGTTATGTGACCTATGCATTTTAAAATATGACCTATGACCGATCCAATTGCACATGACCAAATCTCTTGGATCTTTGACATATGACTTGAGCCAATAGCCTATGACCAAATATCTTGAATCCGTGACTTGTGACTTATGTACTTGACATGTGACCTGTGACTGATTCAAACGGTTGGCCAGACCACCACCATTACCCTTTCCCAACAACTTTCCTTACTGTTGAAACTCAACGACTAAGAAGGCAACCAATCCTACCACCAACACAATCTTCACAACTGTACCTACTGCTGAAACTCAAACGAATGGGGCATGCAACCGAACTTACTACCAATACCATCTTTACAACTCCTCCTACTATTGAAACTCAAAAAATTGGGCAGGTCGCCACCCCCTCCTCTACCACTAGTACCCTCACCATTCCACTTACAGATGAAACCCAAACTCGAACACCTAACCAGCCAAACACAAACACAATCTCTACTGCCACAGTTCTACCTTCAAGTGAAGCCCAGATGGCCAACAGTGACGGTTGTTGACCTCCTTGGCGCGCCGTCGATGCCACCTCTACTCACGGCCTGGGGGAGTATGGGTTGGGTACAGAGAAAAGGCGTCGGAGAGTATCGAAGTCGGAGTATAAAGAGAGAGAGGAAGAGAGAAAATCGATGGGAAGAAATGATTTGGGGATTGAAATTGAAATTATACGGTGCACTGTTGGGGGTTGGAGTATTATTATTTAATACTAAAAAAATTGATTTATCACCTGATTTGTAAATAATTAAGGGGGTGTTTGTTTTTGATTTGAGAATTGATTCTCAAATCAATTCTCATTTTCAACCACACATTCTTCAATAAAATAATATTTTCCATCACATCAATAATTTTTTCTTCTTTTTCAACCACACATTTCCCATCATATCACTATTCAAAAATCACTTCTTCTGGTTGGTTCGAGACAACTTGTCACACAAAGATTAAAATCATCCAATTTTTGGATTTAGCCCATTTTTGGTTCACATTATTTTTTTCATTCTCATTCTTTTTCTCATTTTCAACCACACATTTTTCAGTAAAATAATATTTTCCATCACATCAATAATTTTTTCTTCTTTTGCAACCACATATTTTCCATCATATCACTATTCAAAATCAATTCTTCTCCCAAAAATCCCTACCAAACAAGCTATCATTCCTAATTTTTGCAAAATGATGTTTAAAATTAAGCTCTGCTGTAATTTCCACTATAATTTACTTGATTGAGGCCCAAATCTTGTAAAGCCCAATTAAAAGGCACGCATATCCGACTAAACCCAGTCTGTACAAGTCTTATTCATAGAGCAACGAAGAACAAGCGGCAAAAGTGTTCTTCCTCGGAATTACGCTAAAAATTGGGGGAGGCAGGAAGGGGGACATATTCATATCCCTTTGGCATCAATTTATCTTGTGTTGCAGTGATTTCTACTCAACTTCTTCAACAAAAAAATTGGAAGGTAGTATCTGATTTATTAGTGTAAAAAGGGGCTTTATGTGTTGAAATCGCACTCGATTTGATTGTTATGAACGATTTAATTTCAACTGGACACCTTATAATTTATTTATTTTTCCAAGATTGTTGTTTCTTGATGGTAATTTTCCTCTAGCAGCATTGATTTTTTCGTCAACATTTCAAGAGATTTTTTATGTTTATGGTTTTCTCCTTGCCTTAAAAATGGCCGCCCCTCAAGTGGTGAAATACCCAGGACCAAAATCCAGCGTCGGCAGTTACCCCCACTATACCCCTGGTGTCTCCGCTCCGGGTATATGCTTTCACTGTCTCATGGTTTCCTCATCGTCGTTAATCAATTTTACACTAATCTATTATTGAAATCAATGTATAAGAATAAGTTTTTCTGCCTATTGGTTATGTAAATGATTGTTTAATTGTTAGTTTTTAGAATCTCGACTGATTGTATAAAGATTGACAAAAAGTTACTACCTACTAGAAATTATAGTAATCTCAAGAATTCTATTTTGTTCTATGTTCTTGTATTCATATAAATGTTTGTGATAAATAGGTTTGATTGAATGATGCTGTGGAAGAGAATTTTATTGAAAAATCTTGTCAAAAGGGTTGGGAAATCAAATTTTAGGGGCAAGAAAGATGATGTGCAAAATTTTTTGGCGGAGTCATTAGTGATTGGGCGCAAGGTTGAAGGCTCCCCAAGGATGCCAAAAAGGAAACTTGGAAATGTTGAGTCAAATAAAGATAAAGTTAAGAAGCAGAAGACGAGAGAAAATAATGAAATCAATGTAGGAAAAGATGCTGTTGATCGAATTTCTGATTTGCCTGATCACATTGTCCATCATATTTTTGCACTCCTACATTGTCCAAAAGATGTGGCACGGACTAATATTTTGTCAAAGAGGTGGAAGAGCATCTTTGATTCCTACCTAACGTTTGATTTTGATGAGAGGTACTTTCGAGTACACCGGGGACGAGGGAAGCATAATCGCATTAAAGCGCGGGAAGTGCAGAAGAAGAATTTCAAGAATTGTATTGAGAAGTCACTGGCTGCACGGCTTGAGCCCAAGTCTTGTATACACAAGTTCAGGTTGTACGTGAATAATCTCAATGATAAATTAGCCTCTTGTATGGATCGATGGTTAAGTGCTGCTGTGGACAAAAATGTCAAGGAGCTTGAAATTCATGTGAATGTAAAGAAAAAGCAATATCTTTTGCCAGATGTCGTTCTTATGTCTGAGACAATTACTTCCTTGAAGTTGTCTGGGTGTGTATCTTTGTTTGGTTTCACCGATGCGAAACTTTGTAATCTGAGAGAACTGTCCTTGAAAAAAACTCTTGTAACCGAAACTATAATTCGGAAAGTTGAACATAGCTGCCCCCTGATTGAGGATTTGAGGGTGATACATTGCCGGGGACCTTTATGCTTCCGTATTTCTGCACTTGTTAAACTCAGAAGGGTGGAGCTACATGAGTGTGATATGCTCAGTTCTGTTGAAATTGAGGCATCAAACCTTGAAACCTTCTGGTATCATGGACAAAATAATCAGCCATGCAAATTCGACCTGACGGGTTGTCAAAATCTGAAGCATTTGACTTTGAACGCTGGTGAAATGACAGACGAGATGTTTCAGAATTGCATTTCCAAGTTTCCATTGCTTGAAAAATTGTTCCTTAAAGAATGTAATAGCTTGGACAAAATCACAATTATAAGTGGAAAACTAAAAAGTCTTGCCTTAAATCAATGCATGATGTTGCAGGAAGCCAACATTAACACCCCAAGTCTATTTTCGTTTGAGTATAGCGGCCATAAAATGTCTTTTCCTTCCATGAATATTTCAGGGCTGCGTGAAGCAAAGTTTCACTTCAATCCCTCAAGCAAAGCTTCTTATATTTCTGAGTTGCAAAAATTCTTTGGGAACTTTGATCAGTTTAAGGATTTTAAACTGATCATGCACTCTAAGCAGGTATGGAATTTACTGTCTTATATACAGCAGCTAAAGTTCTTTACCACTATATAACTTTCTTATGACCCGGTTTCTTGTCAATTTTTCACTTTCTCATATACTGTTCTCTAGAATATGACAATTTTCGAAGACCCCAGAGAAGTCGGACTTGTTCGATATATTGATGAGAAGTTGGAATTAACGACATCAAAAAGTAGTGTTTTGAGAAGTGTTGATAGTTGGTTACAAGCACTCCATCGGAAGAGGCTTACTGTGGTATCTTCCACCAGTGAATTTCCAAAGGTAAGGTGGATTCTACCCAATCTTTAGTTATATATGTAGTAATTTAATGTGGAACAAATTGAAGATCATTTACCTCGTAATTCATTGTGGAACAAATTGAAGATCATTCCTTAAGTTTGCTTCGCCAATAGTGTTCAGTACGGGTATTAATATTTTGATGTATAATGATTTATCTAGTCTTTGTGTCTTTTGTAAACCAACGAGCTATATCTATTAGTTTCTGTGCAATTTTTTGGACTCTAATAAACTGAAGATTTTGCACCATTTATCGTTGTATAGTCAAATGTTATTTGTTTTGGAAGTTTGTATGATCATTGTACTGTTTTCTTTGTTTACAGTGTATACACACACTGATAATGAACCGAGAAGATGATTCGTACTGCTGCAGATACTACTCAAGAAAATGCTGGCGACATTACGTAGCAGGTGTTAAAATGGCCGAGACCTTGAACAATTCAGATAAGACAACTTATGACTTCAAATGGAGATCAACGCCAGTATCCTGTTAGCTTGCAAGCGGAGTTCAGTGGACAAGCAGTGGAATTTACTTGAATATAGTAGCTAAACTTAAACCACTTAAATCATTTGTAGCATGGCCTACTGCTTTAAGCAGGATTCTCTAAACAGTAGAACTAGATGAAACTAACGACTTTAAACTTTTAGGCTAATGGTACCTGTGCTTCGTGTATTTCAGTTTTGAATAGTCAATTGCTTGCACATGTTAAACAATCGTTTTGTGCAAGAATGTGCAACAAACTATGCTTTATTATCAATGAATTTGGCCTTAGCTAGATGAATCTCTTTTTGCCATTATACTCTGTTCATTGCTAGATCAAATGGGAGATTGTTGAAATCCCGGATGATTGAAGATGATTGACAGGGATTTTCCTTACCTAAAATAATGTTGTAATTATATTATTTGATTTATTGTCTTATTTAGGAGATTAGTATTTGTTTCCTTTTTTACTCTTTACATTGTATTGTAAATAGGATTGTTATTTTGTACATAAATCAATGAAATATAGAATTTCACGTCTGATTTCATGGTATCAGAGCTAGGTTCTTCAAAACCTAGAAATCAATGACTGAAATCCCAATCAACAGTAAGGGGTCGATGACCCCTGAACTTCCAATCTCAGAAATAGAGACCACCTCCCAAATAGAGGACTCCTTCATAATAGGTTCTAATGGCCCAGATACCTCCTCCTTCCAACTCTCAGTCGAGAAACTAAACGGAAGGAACTATCGAGAATGGGCTCAGTCAATAAAACTTGTGATTGATGGAAAAGGGAAGAGTGGTTACCTCACCAGCGAGATATCGAAACCGACCGACGCTACACAGCTGAAAAATGGGAACGCAGAAAACTCAATGGTTACGGCTTGGCTCATGAATTCCATGAAGCCCACAATAGGAAAGACTTATCTCTTCCTCCCTACAGCGAAGGACATCTGGGATGCAGTGAAAGAGATGTATTCCGACGAGGAGGATTCTTTAAAATTTTTTGAAATCAAGACCCGTCTATGGCAGACCAAGCAAGGTGAACGGGAAGTGACAGAATATTATTGAAGAAGAGTGGGCGTGCTTCGGTGATAGCGTCCGGTACAAGAAGAGGCTGGAGAATGAATGGGTTTATGAATTCTTGGCTAGGCTCAATCAAGACTTGGACGACGTCAGGGGACGCATACTTGGTCGGCGACCTCTGCCCTCAACACGAAGTCTTCTCGGAGGTGCGAAGAGAAGAAAATCGGCGAAAGACGATGCTCAGGGACTTTGGGCCGTCTGGGAGTGAAGTCTCAGCCTTATCTACCAAAGGAATTGGGCCTAATGACATTTCGACCCTTTTATCTAAGTGAAAATTACCCAATTCCCTACTTTTGGATATTCAAATTCCAAAATCAGATTTTAAGGTTTAAGTTTCAAAAATCAGATATTTTATATATAGATATAGGTTTTTTATATTTAATTAATGTTAATAATAATATTATAAAAATTAATTTATAAAATAACTAAATATTTATAAAACAAACGTAACCACCAAAACCTAATTAAAATCACACTCTCCTCTCTCTCTCTTCATCCATTTTCCCCGCCGTCGCCGCCCGTCTTCGCCCGCCGTCCCGTCTTCGCCCATGGCCGACCCCTCCCCTCCCCTCCCCTAGCTGCTGGCAGCGAAATCGCTGCCGGAAAAGCAGCGATTTCGCTGCCTGGAGCAGCTTCGTTGCTGGGAAACCAGCAGCGAAATCG